CCACCACGCAGGCTATCTCTATACGTTTCTGTGTTTATGTCTGTGCATAGGGTCGTATTCTCTGTCTGCTGGGAGGCGCTTCAACAAACAGGCGCTACATCTTCTCACGGAGCTAGAAGACCAGTGTTTGCTGGCTTTGGCTCATGAGGTCACAGGTCAGAGGATCAACTCTTGGCATTTTCCTCACAGTTCCAAGGCAACTACAGCCGCTGAGTCTGTATTCAAGGCCAGCAGAACTAACCACTCCCGCTTTTTCTCTCAGAAGTGACCCCAACAAATTTCTCTCCAGGCCTCACTGGCCAGACTGGCCGCGGCGAGCAGGGTTGTGGTGACTGGCTTCGGGCCAGCCCTAATTTATTACCTGGGAGTGGGCCTGTCATCATCAAGGTATGAGGGAATTAACAGTGTTGGCTGCATTCTACTTTATTTATTTATTATTATTATTTTTAAACAATTATATTTTTTAATTTATATTTTATTGACTTTTTTACAGAGAGGAAGGGAGAAGGATAGAGAGCAAGAAACATCAATGAAAGAGAAACATCGATCAGCTGCTTCCTGCACACCCCCCACCGGCGATGTGCCCGCAACCAACGTACATGCCCTTGACCGGAATCTAACCTGGGACCTTTCAGTCTGCAGACCGACACTCTATCCACTGAGCCAAACCGGTTTCGGCTGCATTCTACTTTACAATCCCTATTTTTATTAATTACATATCATAAGCATCTTCCCACATCAAGAAATGGGGAGAGTCATCATGTTAATGGCCGTATGCCCACTCCCTGGCATAGAGTGGCATTTGGTAGTCAAGCTCCTATTGCTGGCAGTTTGGATTATCCCTATAGTTGAACCGTTGCAGACAAGGCCACAATAACACGCCTTCTGGAAGTATATCTTGGCTGATTGTTTCCTTAGATAATTTCTACGCGTGGGGGCACTAACCGCCCACTGCCGTATTACCCCCAACACTGGCATCGATTCTATTTCCCAAAGCAATGTCCGACAGACCCTGCTCCTCCACAGTCTGCCTCCTGTTGCTGTCATCTTTATAGCACGTGGCCGGTGCCAGGGATGAAACCTGGTTTCCAGATTTAATTTGCATTCCTTTGATTATGTCTGAGGTTGACCATGTTTTCATTTTGTTTTTTGTTTGTTTTAATCTTTACCCAAGGATATGTTTTCTTACTGATTTTAGAGAAAGAAAAATGGCAGGAGAGAGAGAGAAACATCGGTTGCCTCCTGTGCATGACCTGATTGGGGATTGAACCGGCAACCTAAGCCATCTGGCCTGGGCTCATTTATTTCTTTTATGGGGTCACGGATCTTTTATGTGGCTGAAATGCTTTTCTTTTCCTATATGAGCTCCCTCTCCCCCTCAGCCCCCTCTCTCTATGTGTGTGTGTGTGTGTGTGTGTGTGTGTGTGTGTGTATATATATATATATATATATATATATATCTCTCAGAATGGTGATGCTCTTTGGCCATCTCCCAGTATTACCATGTCCTCCTTTTACAGAAACCTGGGGCTCAGTCCTGTCGCCTGGCTGCCTGGCACAGTGCCTCAGCCCTGGGGGGAGAATCGGAATCTCCACCTAATCACAGAGAACAGAGGCTGGGACATGCCCAAGGTCGCGGCAAGCAGTCAGCAGGAACCCCCGCTCCCTGCCCAGGACCACTCTCTCGCCCAGCTAGGGCAGGGGCCATCCCTCCATGTCTCCAGGGCCTTTTCCTCCCAGAGTGGAAACTTCCAAAGTCCCTCTGACCTCCCGGGAGGGCGAAAGGGGCAGGAATTTCTGCCATGGTACACAAACCTGGAGCCTGGGGCTGGAAGCTGGAATCCCGGGGTTCACCGAGACTGCTCCCCTGGCCCTGCTGCGCCCCACCCCTCCCCCCGGGGACCTGCCGGACAGGTGCCCGCTCCCCACCCCCATTAATCCACCAGCGAGAGGGGCCTGGAAGGCAGCTCGGCCAGGGGAGCAGGCACAGGCCTCAGAGCTCAGGTGGTCAGAGTAGAGCCCCCTGCCCCCTGCTCTTCAAACTGTCCAAAAGCTGCCGACCCTTCCTGTCTAGTGAAATGCACAGCACAGCTGCCTCCCGTCTCCTCGGTCACCAGCAATCCCGAGCAGGGCCCGCCCAGCAGTGAGGCCGGAGGGAGCTGGCGGCCGGGAGCGGCCCTCAGAGAGGCCTTGCTGCCCTGCCGACCGCGAGCAAGTTCACAGAACGTCAGCCTCAGACAAGGCCGCTCTGGGGCTGTGATGGTCAAGGCTATGTGGCAGCCACGGCCCAGCACAGGCAGCAGGAGCGTGGTCACTCCAGGTTTGTGTACCATGGCAGAGTTTGTGTACCAGCATAGGCAGCAGGAGCCACGGCAGCCACGGCCCTGCACAGGCGGCAGGAGCGTGGTCACAGCCACTGCAGGGAGTGCACATCCCCGTCCTGGCGGGACCAGCCGCTGCTCCCACGCCATTTACAGCTCAGCTTCAGCTCGTGCTGGTCTCCCACTTCGCGAGGAGCTGCATCACAGAACTCGCCTGCTTCAGGGCGGTACCCAATCCGAGCAGAGCCCCACTCCCACACCCCCGTCACCTCCACCAGCCCAAGCCCACACGTCCTTCCCCTCCCTCCTACAGAGACGGCCGGTGTTCTCCCTGCACTGAGTCTCCACCCACCTATCAGCCACGGGAGAGCTCGTGGTGGGCTCCATCAGACACCCCCACGGCCGCCGAACCCCTGCCAAGCTCAAACACAGGGGCCCACACACCCCCTGTGCACACCAGGAAACAGGTCCACAGGCAGCCGGACCTGCCCGCCGTCACAGAGGCGGGTGTGGATGGAGCTTACCATCCAGATGGATGAAAGTGAAAGCGCCCCTCTAGTAACTACGCTGAATCACAGGACTGTCCTGGGAAGACGGGGCACGGGGTCTCCCCATCGCACAGCAAGGTGGTGGGGGAGCCGGGACTGCAGCCCAGACCAAGCCTCGCCATCTCCCTCCGCTGCCCCAAGCCCTTGGGCAATAGGATGGGGCTGGCGTCTCTCTGCTGGCCGCCTCGCTGGAGAGGCTCTGGGGACGCCCCCCACGGCGACTCAGGGCCATGGGGGCCACGGGAGCCCCACAGCACACAGCGTCCCCCTGCCGCCCGCTGTGCCCGGCGTGCACTTTCCAGAGGGCGCCCACGGTGCCCGCCGGGCACGATGCCTCAGTGGCCCTGGCCGGAGGGCAGCAGGTGGCTTTACATGAAGGAATGTGCAGGTGAAGGACAGTGACCCTTCTGAACGGTGCAAGCGGTTTTATTTCAGCCGTCTGTCCGTCCGTGCCAGCTATTTCTGAGGCGGCTCACCCTCCCCAGCTCCGTAAACAGAGCACAGAACACACACCCCACCTCGTCAGCTGGCGGGGAGGAGGTGTTGAGGGAGGTTGAGGAGGCTGTGCCCTTCGGACCCAGCACAGAGGGCACCCCTTTCCCACCGTGGGTCCCCAGCGCGGACACAGAGGCCAGGCCAGGAGGGGGTCTCCCGGCCCGGAGGCCCGAGGGCAAGCTCTTCATCCAGGGGCCTGGTTTGAGGTAGTGCCACTGCCCCTTCCCCTGAAGCATCTGCCAGGTCCCTGTGCGGGCACTGAGGGGCGTGGCTGAGCTGAGTGCACGGGTGGCATTGCTCTGTGCAATGCTGCTGCTGGGATACAGGGGCGTCGCCAGGGGCTGCTGACGCAGGCTCGCTGGTCCCAGGTCACCCCGCTGCCTCTGTTGTGCCAGTGTTTCCTCCGCTCCCACCTCGGCCCCTGCTCTGCACTCTGCCCCTACCTTACAAGAAACCAAGCTCACAGGATGGTGAATCCTCTGAGGGCAAGAACTGCTATCAGTTCATGTCTCTTCCTCCCTAAAGATCCTGGCGGAGTGTCTGGCACAGAGTGGATGCTCAGTCAACGCCACCTGCATCACATCGAATGAAGCCAGGACATTTTATGTCAACCCACAGCCCTAAGCCAATGCCCGTGTGTTCTGCAGGGCGCGGGGCTGTTCAGGGGCTCTGAGCCTGGCTCTGGAACTCCGATGAGGCCATTGGAAAGTGTGAATGCCGGGGCGTCACCGGCGGGAGCTAAGCTTTGGGGGAAGTCGGGGAGAGGACATTCCTGGGCTCTGGGCAGTTCCATCCGCCCTCAGCGAGCACTGACCCGGCACAGGGGGTACAACGTGAGGAGAGCCAGGACGCTGGCCTCTGCCGTCATGGCCCAGGGACAAGCGTGCAAGACCCCACGGCGGCACGAGGGAGCCAGGATGACGTTGTCCCCAGAGGGGTGACAGCGGGAAAGGCTTTCAAAGCAGGGACATCTGTGCGAGGGTTTGAATATAAATTTGCTCGGCAGACGAGGGATCAAAGGGCTTCCTGGCAGAGAGGTGGCATGGGAGGGCATGGGTAGCAGCGCACATGTGTGCACGTGTGTGTGTGCATGTATATGTGTGTGTGTGTGGTAGGACACGCGTTGGGGTTGAGGAGCAGAGGGTGTGGCGTGGGCTGGAGGGGGAGTAAGTTGGGAGGTCAGCAGAGGCCAGTCATGGAAGGTTTTGGATCCCATAGAACAGGAGCCACAGGAGGGACGTGGGTGGGGGACAAGCAGTCAGCCCTGGGTGAAGGCAGATCACATGGCACACCCGGCAGACTACAAGGCCCAGCAGGAACGGCCACCCTGAGCGGCCTCCTCAGGGACCAGAGAGCCAGCGGAGCCCCAGGAGGCGCCTGTTCAGAGGCAGCTCTGGGGGGAGGCGGAGAAGGCTCCGGAGGCCCAGCTGCTGCAGATCTAACTGAGCCACATTCCCCCTTCACAGCTTTACCCCCCGAAATAACGATGGCGATGGCGTGGCCGTGATCCATGGAAAATAACCGCCCCTTCCCTGCGTGTTTCTTTACAGCGCTCTGGGGGCTCCCGGACCCACCGTCTCTTCGGACACTCCAGACAACCCCGTTTCGCAGACTGGGAAACCGAGGCCCTGGGAAATCACACAGGGCTGGTGGCTGTGCCAGGCTCGCACCCGGGGGCAGTTCCATCGAAGCCCTGGGCTTCGGGCTCAAAGCCCAGTTCCTTGTCCGGGAGGGGGTCCCCGGGGCTGTCGGGCAGCCCATAATACAAGTCCTCCTCCTCCTGCTCCGGCTCCTCTGCGCCTGTGTCGGACGCCTCGTCCTCCGCTCCCGTCCTCGGGGGCCGCGGCCCGTAGCTGGGGAGGGCCGCGCCCCACCACTGTCCCGCTGGCGGGGTGTCCTCCGACACGGGCGCATCGATCAGAGCGAAGTCGTGGAAGCGGTCCAGCTGGCACCTGCAGGCCCAGGGCTCCCCCCCCTCGGGCGGAGATGGGTTGGGGCTGCTGCCCTCACTGGAGCCCATGCCCATTTCCTCCTGGAAGGAAGCCAGAGGTGCAGGACCCCGGGGAGGGGCTGGGGAGCTGCAGGGACAAGGCCAGAGAGAGGAAGGGTGGCTTGAGTCAGATTGTCTGGGTCTGAGCCTCAGCCTCTGGCTGCAAGGCCAGGGCAGGTGAGCCCAGCTGTCTGGGCCTCAGTTTCCTCCCCTGTAAGCTGAAAGAAATAAGAATCTCCACTCCTCTGGAGTCTCTGAGGTTTACAGCAGACCGTGTGTTCAAAGCACTTTGCGCAATGCCTGGCACCCAGTAGGTGCTCAAGAAACGAGCCCTTATCGCGTTATTATCCAAACCAGGCCATTCCTCCACTTCCCCAATCTCTCAGCCTTCTCCTCTGGGCCTGCAGCCCCCAGCTCACTGGGTGTCACCTTCTGCTCCCTCACCGCCTCCCCCACTGGACCGGGAGCTCCTGCAGGGTGGGGGCCATTGGGCCTGGCAGGGAGCAGGTGCCCAGGAACAGTGGTAGGATGAGTAAATACATGGATGAATAAGGAACCCAGTTCATAAACGTCCCTGGACGGGGCGGGGTGGGGAGTGACCTGCCTGAGGTCACGAGCCCATCAGGGGCAGGGTCTGGATTTGAACTCAGGTCCTCTGGCTCCATGCCTCCCGCTCCCCGCCACACATGACAGGCATTCAGGCAGTGCAGAGGTCTATGGTACGTGACCCTTACATGCACTGTTCCATCTCCACAACACCCCTCAGAGGTGGGAGGGATGGTTCCCATGTGGGGAAACTGAGGCTCAGGACGGTGAGGAACTTGCCCAGGTTACACAGCAGTGCTGCTGGGATTTGAACCCCGGGCCCATCTAAGCCCCGATTCATGCATCTGCTACACCTGCCGCCCTCTGCCTGCCCCCACAGAACCAGCCCTCATGGCCCACATCCCTCCTCCTTCACCCCAGAGTGGCAGCATCCCGCTCCTGCCCTCGGCACACGCACCTGGGACCGCTCTGCATTGGGTTTCTTGCTCCCTCGTCCTCATCCGAGCCCCTGTGGACCACCACGGCAGCCTCCATCCGGGCCTGAGCATCGCGAGGGCCACCTTCCGCGCTGTCCCCAGCTCGCGGCTGCTGCCACCCCCGCTCAGGGGCCAGCAGGGGGCGGGGATCCTCGCTGTAGCCCAGGACCTTCATCCGGATGTGGCTGAAGTCTGGCAGGCTCTGGTCGTAGGCGGCCTCGTCCCACAGCCTGACGTAGGGGGGCTGGGTGCTGGGTGGGGACACCGCAGACGGCAGGAGAGAGAACAGGCAGGTGGGCAAGGATTCATTCGGCAGAGAGGGCTGTCCCCCGGCCCACCCGCTCTGGCCACCGGGTCCTCCCTCCTCTCCAGGAGGCCTCAGCGTCATCATGGACCTAGCTCACGGGTGGGGAGTCTGAGGCCCAGCGAGGCAGGGTAGATGGCAGAGCTTAGCCCCTCAGCCCGTGTTCCCTTCGCTCCGAGTCTCCAAAGTTAACCCCCAGGGAGCAACCACAAAAGGAAGACCAGGCTCCTGGGCTGAGTTGGCTGGGTTCAACAGGCTGTGCTACGACCTCACTGGAAAAGTGAGAATGATTATTCTGAACACCTTTAAGCGGAATAATCATCCCCATTTTCCCAACGAGGACATGGCAGCAGTAATTAGATGCCCTTTGCCTGCGGGGCTCTGTCAGGCAGCTCAGCCAATCCTCTCCCTCACTCTGGGAGGTACTGAGGGAAACTGAGGCACGAGACTGGCAGGCTTGGTGCTGGGGCTCAGACATCACTTTTCCTACTGCTCCCTCCAGTCCCGACAGAAAGTGAGGAGCTGAGACTAGGTCCCCTGCAGGGTCCCGCGGCTGAGAAGTGACGGGAGGAGCCCGGGACTCACGGCCGCTCGAGCCTGGGCTGTCACAGCTGCTCTCCCCACGCCACCGGTCCTGAGGCTGGCCCCCATTCCCACCCAGGGTCTGTCATCTCATTCCCCAGGACATCTGGTCGCTCTGTGCCAGGAACATAGAAAGCCATCAGGACTTCCTTCCCCCAGCCAAGCAGAGAGCGTTCAAGAGCTCAGCCGGACCCTGGACCCGCACCAGGCCCCCTGAGCACGGAGTGACAGCCCCCGGGGGCCGGGAGGGGGCGCCGGTCCCATCTCTCCCAGGCTGGCCTGCTCCCTGCCGCGTCCTGCTGAGCCACGGTGTGCCGCCTTCAGAGACAAAAGCAGGTCTGGTCTGATCGGTCACCGACTCCCCGTGGGCTTGAGGCTTGTGCTTACACTTACTGAGCCTCGGTTTCCACATCTGGATAAAAGGCGGGCCTCCCCTCCACGCCCCATCACAGGGTCTCTGGGAGGACGGAAGGGGGAAATGGGGGCACAACGTCTGATTCGGCCTGCGATGCTAAGGAAGCTCTTCTTGCGAATGATGGCGAACACTTATCAGGGGCCTGCCCTGCACCAGGTTCTGTTCTTAGCACTTTGCTTATATTATTCTCTCACTGAACCCCCAGGAAGAAGGTGCCATAGGTTAGTGTCCCCGTTTTACAGAGGGGGCAACGGGAGGCACGCCCCTTTCCCAAAGTCACACAGCAGACCAGCGGAGCCCTGGGCTGTGCCGGCCATCCTCACGCCCCCGGTTTACGGTAGTCGTCACAGCCCTTTGGGATTTAGGGTCAAACCTGACTTTGATCTTGGTCTGCCACCGGTTCACGGAAAGACAGGATAAAGCCCTGGCCCTCGGTTTCCTCACCGGAGTGATAATGCTTGCCTCATGGCATTGAGAGTTCAGAACAATCCATGACTTCTAACAGTACGCTCTTTTTTTTTTTTTTTTTTTTTTAATATATTTTATTGAATTTTTACAGAGAGGAAGGGAGAAGGATAGAGAGCTAAAAAACGTCATCGACCAGCTGCCTCCTGCACATCTCCTACTGGGGATGTGCCCGCAACCAAGGTCCATGCCCTTGACCGGAATCGAACCTGGGACCTTTCAGTCCACAGGCCGAAGCTCTACCACTGAGCCAAACCGGTTTCGGCAACAGTACACTCTTAGTAGGGTGGGAAGGCCTGGCCAGAGCCTGGAGTAAGAGAGGGAGACACTGTCTACCCTCCACCCCACTCCCCCACTCCCCTCTGTAAGGGGGGCTTGGCCACTGCCTCACTCGGGGGGTCACTGCTCCTCCCCGCCCCCCTCCCAAGCACAGAGGGCCCAGCACCTACCTCTGCTCGGCAGTGAGTCCGTTCTCCAGCAAGCCGGGCGGCTTCGGGGACAGGACGCTTTGGAATTCAGAGTCGGCAGGGACAAAGGCGATCTGCAGGGCAAAGGGGAGAGGGCTTCTCTGCAGCTGCCCGCACACGCCCGTGGCCGCCGCTCCCCCAGAGCTTGACTTAACCTCCCCCAGGCCTGGGGAGAGAGGCCCCCCGGGGAGGGCTTCCCCTGCTCACAGGAGAGGGGTCTGCACAGGGCCAGCACCACTGGGTGGATGGAACCCTGGGCTCCGGCTCCCGCCTGGCTCTACCTTCACCCAACAAGCATGTATTGAGCACCTGCTGTGTGCCAAGCACTCTTGTAGGCCCGAGGGGTCGGCAGGGAGTGAGTGGGACAAACGACCCTGCCCCGGAGTTGCTCACATCTTGTCATTTACCAGGTCCTCATCCAGTTCCCAGAATGTGCCTGGCACTTGGCCCATATCTGGCAAATGAGTGGAACATGGTTCTTGACACAAGAGGCTGTGATGGGGACAAAGGACCGGGGTTGTGCTCACCAGTCCCTGTCCCTGTCCCTGAATGTTCAGGGATCAAAAGGTCTCTGCACCCATGGGGTGGGCACGGGGTGGCAGAGGGGAGTAGGTCATGAAGAAGGCAGTGGGATGAGCAGAGGAGCCTGCCTTTGGGGACACTGGGTGAGAATCCTTCCTGTCTTCCTCTGTAAAACGGGGCTAGCCTCAAAGAGCTATTTGCTGTATTCTTCATAGTGGTCAGGAGGCGAAAGCAACCCAAGGGTCCCTCCCTACACAGATGAAAGGATAAATGAAATGTGGTCGACCCATGCAAAGGGATGCTAGCCAGCCTCAAGAAGGAATGAAGTTCTGGATAAACCACGAAGAAATAAGCCAATCACGAAAAAGATAAGTTCTGTGTGACTCCACTTGTATGAGGCATCTGGAGTAGTCAGAGTCACAGAGACCGAGAGTAGAAAGTGGTGGCTGCCGACGGGCAGGAGGGGGACCAGGCGTTATTGTTTACGGGGTGAGGAGAAGTTGTGTAAGACGAAGAGTTCTGGGGAGCTAATGCACAGCAATGTAGATGCAATTAACACTTAACATGGTTAAGATGGTAACTTTTATGTTGTGTATTTCATCACAGTTTTAAAAAGTAAGACTAACAATGCTGGTCTCCTGGAGGCTGCTGTGAGGATTCTTTGAGATAATACATAAGGAACCCCCAGCACAATGCCTGGCACATAGCAGCTGCTCAGTAAGTAATAGTTGGATGCAACTGAGTGAGTCTTGCTCTCCTCAACTGAAAATTTTTTCAACAAATATTTGATGAGACCCTCTGTGTTGCACCAGGTTCATAAATAGCAGCGCCCCTTTCCCTTCCCATAGAGTGCAGGGAGTAAGAGACACTTGTCTGCATCAGAAAGGCTCCTTCCGGCTGGGGAGACAGAAATGATGGATGGAAGGGTTCTTAGAACTCCTGGCAGGGGTAAGCTTCCCCCGAAATGTCTGGGTATAAGGCAGGGGCCTGGGTATCTCCCGCACACACTAAGGATGCCCTGCACTTGTAGCTGGCTCTGTACTCTGAAGAAGCTGTTCTTTCCTCTGCCTCAATATCTCATAATCCAGTCACCATCTTCCTCCTTATCATCGTCACCACCATCGTCACCATCATCATCACCACCACCATCATTGCCATTGTAAAAAGCCTGAAGGAAAAGGAAAGACTGGAGCATCTTAGAACACAAGTCCTTTGAGGAGAGGGGGTCAAGCAGAGCTGAAGCTAGGGAGGGGAGATCAGACCATGAAAAGCCCAGAACAGTAGACTAAAGAGTTCAGTCTTTATCCAGCACCAATGAGAGCCCTGGAGGAGTTCTTAGCCAGAGAGTGCAGACAGGTCTGTGTTTAGAAAGAGCCATCCCCAAAAGGAGGGAGCAGAGGAAAGGAGGGGGGCTGATGGAGAGGACAGATCCATCCACCACCAATCAGGGGCCTGGGCCTGGGCTCCAACTGAACAGGGAGGAGAAGGGAGGGGGACCCATGGGCACAGGCAGAAGCTGGACAGTGAGAGGCATTGCTTTTCTGCCAGTCCCCTCTCCCTGCCTCCCCTTTCTCAGCTCCCTGCCCCATCTCAGCTAACACTGCCGCAACTATAGACTTTCCCTGATTTCTCCTCCTCTCTCAAGCCCGGCTGAGAAATTCAGTGCCACAGTCCAGCCACGGCAGGTACTATATACATTTGATGAAGTAGAAATGTCTTTTTAGTTCCTAGTCTTGGGTTCAAGCCTTTCCTTGGTCCAGGAGATCATCACCTCTCAGCTGGACCAGAGAAGGAGCCTCCCCATTGGTCTGGCTGCCCCTGGACCTTCCTCCCCGCATGTCAGCCTGGTAACTTTCTCACCTACAAAGCTGATCACGTCCTCTCTTGTTCCATCACCTGAAGGGTAAGGTCCACATTCATTCGCATGGCATCTCGGGCCCTGCAGAGCTGAGCCCCATTCCCTCTCCTCCTTGCCTTCCTACATCACCCCCCCACCCCCTGTAGCCATGCTGCCCCCCCCACCCCCCCACCCCCCCCACCCCCCGCCGCCTTGCTCTTTCTCCTCATGCTGCTCCTCCTGCCTGGAATGTCTTTCCCATCTTCTCTCCATGAGAACTTCTCTCCTCGGCACATGCAGCTCAGCTCATCTTCTCTGGCAAGCCCCCTCCCTCCCCATCAGGAGGGAAAGCGTCTCCCCTGTGAGCCTCCAGCCCCTCACAGAGAGGAACAGCTGAATTCATGTTGGCATTGGCCAACGCTCATCCATATCTTAATTGGCTTATTCCAGTTCCTTATATTTTTATATTTCTTTCCATCTAGAAATCCCCACTTATCAGGCAAGGGGGGATCCTGAGGGAGGGTGGGCACCAGCATTTGCTGAGGGTTTTGACAGCCTCAGGCACCAAGGAGCCAGTGCTGGAGACAACCCTGCTCCCCCTTGACCCCCAACCCCACCCAGTGTGTCTCTCTGGTTTACATCACACTTCCCTCCCTCCCTTCGTGGGCCGGATCTAACACATACACACACACACACACACACACACACACACACACACACACACACACACCTGTACACACACAGAGGCCGCCCAAGGCCGCAAACGCCAATCCCGAGAAGAATGCATTGAACCAGCTCTGTGGCAGGTGTGGGGCTGGGTCTCCCACATACAAGACCCCACTGGCCCCTCCCCCTTAGCTCGGGAGGCAGGGAGACTCCCGACAAGGTCACAGAAGTGAGGCCGAGGTAGGGAGGGGGGATTTGAATCTGGGCCTGTTGGACACTAAACCCTGTTTCCAACCCCACACTGCTGCCTCCGCAGCTCAGGACCACGTGGACCTATCAACAGTTACTCATTAATACACAGTAAGATTCCCTCTCCCCCTCTCCCTCATCCGCTGCCACCCGGTCCCTGCCCACCACCCCAGAGCCAGCTCTGGTCAGGGGGAGAGGGCAGCAAGGACACTACTCTCTGTGCCCCAGCCGTCCCAGGGTCTTGCTCGTCATGGGAGGAGGGGGGGGAGGAGGACGGAGCTGGTTATGGAGGCAGCTCGGGCCCCACGTTCCTCTCCTCCCGGTGACCTGTGCTCAGGGCATTGCACAGACAGAGGCGCGTTGACTGTAAACTGCTGGAAAAATGACTGCAAACCAGCCAGGACCGCCCCAACACCAAACACTCTGACAGCCTGCCCGGGGCTGGCCCGTGAAGGGGGCAGGGCTGGGGAGAGCCAGGCCCAATCCCCCAGAAGCCTCCTCCCTCCTGCCTCCTCCCCTGGACACCCCCCAGCACAGCCACCCAAGGGGGAGGTGAGGAGGGGACTGAAGGTGGTGGGGGCTGCCCGGGGCCTAAAGCCCTAGATGTCTGGACCAGCAGGGCCCTTAGATGCATCCCTCCCCCACCCCCATTCCTGACTCGTGTACTGTACAAATGAGGAAACTGAGGCTCCTAGAGGGAAGGGGCTCAACCAAAGTCTCCCCAGCAGTGAGAGGCAGAGGCCACGTTAGAGCCCAGGCCTTGTCTCCTTGGGCCTGCCTGGCCAGCTGTGTGACCTTGGAAATGCCGCACAACCTCTCTGAGCACTAAAGGCTTACACCTCCTGACACGCTCCTCCTACAGGGCTGTTGGAGGATCGATACCAGTAAGGGTGGCAGCCATGCACCTGCATAGAAAGCCCTGCAGTTAACAGAACGTTCCTACCTCCCATCTCTTCTCTGTTCATAATAACTCTGGAACTGGGAGAAATGGGAGTGTGGGGTGGGCTCCCTGCTGCGAATGTAGGAAAATGACAGAGGTCACACAGAGTTTGGAACAGAGCTGGAACTAGCACCCGGGACTCCCACGCCAGTGCCCTCCCATCACTAAGTCGCTCACAGGCTGGGAGGGCACCGGAACTGAAGGCCAGACTCTGACCAGCCCACAGCATCGAGGTGATGCCGGGCCCACCGGCACTCTCAGCAGCCCTGGGCCACAGCGATAGCCTTAACCACACACACCTGCGCTCCAGAGCCTGACACTCAGCGGTGGGACCGCACCTTCCCCCCTTGGGCTTCTGCACTATCCAGTGCAGAATGCAGGCCCACCGGGCCGGTGGCCATCGCTCCTTCGCTTTGGTTCCCAGCACATGATGGCTGTGTGCTGGGTCTCACTGTCTCCTCAGGGGCCTCTTCACGGCTCCAGATCCAGGGGGGTTTCTGATACATCCTTACGATAAGAGAGGGATGGATGGAGGGACAGATGATGGATGAGTGGAGAGAAAAGGGAGTGCACAGCGGGTGTACGAAAAGAAGATTGAAAGACGGGCATTATGCCTGGAACAGAGGCTCAGCCGTGCCCTCTGGCCCCAGTGAGCCTGCCCCCACCTCTGCCTACCTTGGGGTAGCACTGGCACATGCTCCAGATGACGCCCCCAATCACCATGACGCTGCCCATGGCGTAGAAGGTGCCGTAGACCTGGGGCCGGTCGTGGCTCATGAGGAAGGTGCCCAGGGCCAGCAGGAAGAGGCCCAGCACGATGAAGCCGATGCGGAAGGTCTTCTCGTCTGCCATGCCCCCCCGCCCCCCCCGGGCCGCGGTCCGTCCACTGCCCGCCGAGGGGCGCCCGCGATCCTGTGTGGACGGACACCACTCTCCTCGCACCCAGAGGATGAGCCTCGGGGGTCACTGCAAACCCGGACTTAGAGCTGCAGAGGGGGCAGGTCCCTCAGGTTCCGCCGCGGCTCCTGGGCCACACGTTCTCCAGGCGACAGCTACGCTTCAGTGGGCCCGGCACCACCACCACCTTCACGCCGTCACCTTCCCTCTGGGCCCAGCTGGAGTGTGTGTGTGTGTGTGTGTGTGTGTGGCTCCGAGGGAGGGAGAAGCCAGGACGGAGAGGGGTGGTTCCAGGAGCTGGGCCCCGGCCAGGGCTTTGACATCACCTCATTTGCCTGCGTGGGGCTGAGCTGGGTGGACGGGCGGCCCACACCGTCCAGTCCTGGGAAGGCGGGTCCGGGGCGCGGCACAAACACATCAGAATGCCGCTGGGAGGCTCCAGGATCCCACAGGCTGGCATAGCAGAATCCTGAGGCATTCTGGACTTCCTCAAGGTCATGTGCCCCTCCGAGGTTCGGGAACAATAGCCCATATTTACAGAGGGTGGCTGCGTGCGTGGCACTGTCCTAATCATGTTATACTAGCACGATACCCATCTAAGGGGAACCCCGTGAGGCACACACTTTATGAGGACACCAATGCACAGACAAGTCACTTGCCAAGCTGACACAGCAGCCGGGATGTGAACCCAGAGGCCATGCCCCTAGCCCACCCTGGATACTCCCTAACTGTAGCAGGAAGGTTGAAAGTTCAGGATCCTTGCCCTGGCAGTTTTGACTAAGTAGATAGAGCGTCAGCCTGCAGACTGAAGGGTCCCAGGTTCGATTCCAGTCAAAGGCATGTACCTTGGTTGTGGGCACATCCCTTGTAGGGGGTGTGCAAGAGGCAGCTGATCGATGTTTCTCTCTCATCGATATTTCTAACTTTCTATCCCTCTCCCTTTCTCTCTGTAAAAAAATCAATAATATATATATATTAAAAAGGAACATTGACTGGGCTTGGGTTTCTGGGTCCTCTACCCTGGGGCAGTGTGACTTTGATCAAGTTACTTCCATGTGCCTCAGTTTTCCTCCTCTGTAAAATGGGGATAGTGACAGCACCTCCCAGGACAGGGCTGTCTGCTAGCCTGGCCTCCCTGGGCTCCTCTGTGAGCTGCTCCCGGAAAGGTTCAGGTGCCTGGAGGCCCTGCGGGTGGGAATGGCTGACAGCAACTCCCTTGCCTTCCAATCTAGGAAGAGGCCTTCCTTCTAAGGAGGACATTGTAATGGTGGCATTCCAGTTCCGGAGATAGGCTGACAGGAGAACGAGAATTATAAGAAAACGTCTCTAGAAGAACACATCAGCTTGTCATTTGTACAGCGTGTGAGTGCTAATGTGGGGTCGTTGCTTCTCTTTGGCGCCCTGACTTAGTGGAGGCTGGAGATTTTCCTGTTTGCTGTCATCACCGTCCCCTTCTCCCCAATAAGAGCTGTGCTTCCAGACGCCGCACCCACAGTCACACCAGACCCTCTGCCTGCTGTTCTGCCCACACACACCGTTTCCAGCTTCTCTTTCATCGGCTCTGAGATCCCAGCGGGTTTGCAGCGAGGGCCCCCGGCCCAGAGGAGGTCCCTGTCACAGAGCTCAGGACAGCCCCCTGGTGAAAGGTGCTGAGGGTCTCGGAGAAGGGCTGAGCGTCACCAGGTCAAGTCCAAAGATGGCGACTCCACTCTTGGACTTAGTTTTTTAAATATCTGTCTTTATTGATTTTTAGAGAGAGGAGAGGGGAGAGGAATAGATAGACAGAAACATCATTGACTGGCTGTCTCCTGCGCGCGCCATACTGGGGGTTGAGTTTGAAACCTAGGTATGTGCCCTGACCAGAATCGAACTAAATGACTTCTTGGTTCATGGGGCAGTGCTCAACCACTGAGCAACACTAGCTTGGCTTGCTTTAGTTTTGCCACCTGAGTGAGGACTGAGGGTGGTGTCAGGGCCACCTCCCTGGTATTGTGCGGGACTTACTAGAGGAGAAAATGCTTTGAAATCTGTGCTTATCAGAAGGGCAGGAGCCCCCAAAGGAACACTATTGTCATGGTCTTACAGAGAGGACCAGAGATGGGAAGCAGCGCCTGCCCCAGGCCCAGAGGGGCCCAGCCTGAGCTCTCTGGTCCTGGGGTGGGAACAGATCTCTGTGGTCCGAGCCTCTTGCGCCCCCTTGTGGCGGTGTAGCATGCGCTCGACAAGGCACTTGCACACCCTTTGGGTCATGCTCCTGTCCTTCCGCCCGCTGAGTAGAGGGGAGCAAGAGGCTGGGGAGGAGAGGGACTGGCTAAGATCTCCCCAAACTGAGATTGTGGCTGAGCAGGGACTGGGACCCACACCCCCAAACCCAATATAGATGGATCCGGCCTTGACCATTCCTGAGGTCCCTTAGTCACCAGCGCACTCTCCTCCTCTCCCCACTTTTCCTTTCCTCTCTATGACCCAGCATCTTTTCTCTTTTTTATCTCCTCTTTTAAAACAATTTAAATGTGAGGAGTAAGAAGCTCTGGGCCAAGGAGGCACTCAGCTAAATGGGTCTAATCTAACCTCTTCCGCAGAGCCGATAACAGGTGTGCCTGGTGCTCTGACCCTACTGGGTTACTTACCCCTGGTTCCCATTCCCCTTCCTGTGGCCTCTGACCTTCACCTCCCTCCCCTGCAAAGTGAGGGAGCAGAGGTTGAGGAGTCTGTCCTCTTCCAGCAGGGGGCGCGCTAACCACTGTTTTCTTCCTGTCTGTGGAATTTAAGATCCTCACAATAGCCTCAGAAGCAGGAAGGGGAAAGATCACACCCATTTGACAGATGAGGATACTGAGGTTCAGGGAGGCAAGGTGAGCGCCTCAAGGACTCAGAACCTGTCGATAGTAGAGCCAGGATTTGAACCAATCCCCTCAGTCTCTTGCCGAGCCTCTGCTATGTACAAGACACTCGGAGGCATGAGGCACTCGGATACACATGGGATTTCAGAGAGGGATGGCACTCGGTCCTTCCTTCTGGGATAAAATATGGTCCAACCTGTGCACCGAGCAGAGGGGGGTGGGGGAGGGTTGGGGCGAGGAATGGAGAGTCACAGAAGGGATCCTTGAGGAGTCAGCTAAAGTTCTGTCGGTTCAGACAGAGACTGGCATGTACAAAAGCCTGGAGCAAGCAAGCACTGACCAGGGCTGGAGATGCAACTCTAAATGCTATGCACACACCTGCCCCTGCACTGCAGGCTCCGCCCCTCCCTCCCCAGACCCACTCCTCCCAGGTCAACTCCATCCTTCTAGTTCTCCGTGCCAGTGCCTACATACCCTGGCTCTATCCTCCCCTCCCCTCTCACACCTACATCACTTCTCTCCCCCCACTCCTGCTCATCAGCGTGGTCTGAGCCCTCGCATCGCTGTGCCCCTAAGTGCTCCCTGCTTTTACCCTTGCCCCTAACTCTCTTTCCAATCCAAATGCCACATCAACTTTGCCACTCTTGCCCAGAACCCTGGAATGACTTTCTGTCCTACCGAAGCCAAAGACCTCCAAATGGCCTAGAGGAGCTTAGACAATTGGCCCATGGCACCCACCCCATCACCCCTCTGAACTCACCTTCTGCCATGCCTCCCCTTCCTCCCTCCCTCCCGCCACCCTGGCTCCGTGCTCCCCGTGGAACACACGGGCACCCTCGAAAAGGTAAACTGCGTTCGGTTCCTGCTGCCTGCAATGCTCTTCCTCCAGATATGTGACGGCCCCCTCCCTCGCCTCCTTCGAGTCTTTATCCAAATGTCAGCTTTCTGGTGAGGTCTTCCCTGGGGTGATATCACTACTTCCCCCCGGTGCTCCCCGTCCTCCCCAGCTGTCCTGTTCTCTGTAGTACCCTTTGCCATCATACATGCTCTATACATTGGTTATTTATCTTGTCTCTTGTCTGTCTTCTCAACTAGAACCGGAGTGCCCGCCGGGGACTTTGTTCACTGCCGCGTCCTCAGGGGCTGGAGCAGGGCAGGCTCTGGATTGGCGTTTGGGAATGGAGGGGTGGTGTCAGTTCCCGAGGAGAGGGCTGCTGGAGAGGACGCACAGGCTGGAACCTCCTGGGGTCATGCTAAGGTTTCCAACGTCTTTCTCAGGAGTCAACAGAGAGCCGCTAAAGGGGTGTGCAGCGGAATGACAGATCGGATTTTAATTTTACGACCGTCCTCTGGTTTTGAGGTCAGGTCAGAAGCAGCAAGAAGAGACGGTGGCAGTGAGGGGCGATTGCCAGGCTTTAGCAGAACCCCAGGGGGACAGGCCTGCAGGGAACGGTGTTTAGAATTGGCTGCTGGGGAGGAGGGAGAGCTGTGGAAACGTACAGCTGGGAAATTTCTGACTGCTTTGGGGTGCAGAGCTGCAGGGGTCAGGCTCCCTGGCCAACCGGAAGGATAAGCTGAGGGAAAGTGGGGGACAGGCCTAAGCTCGGAGGACCCCCGACATCCAAGGCCTGGTGGCAGGCACCAGATGTGGCCTCTGAGAGGTGAAGACGCCAACAGCCGCCCGGGAGGAAAGAAACCAGGAAGCAAGCCGGTGCCTACCGGGGGCTGAGGAATGGCAGACCCGGCCTCACATGGCTTCTGCACCCCATGCCCTGCCTGCCAGGGGGCACAAGGGTCCCCAGTTCACAGCAAGGCCACTGCAGCTCGGATAGGTCAGTCGGTCCGGTGGCTTGCCTGACAGGAGACTGGCTCCATGGCTCTGACTCATCCTCCAAGGTGCTGGTGACCTTGAGCAAGTCACTGCCCTGGCTGGGGCCTCTCACAGATCAGTTGATACAGAGAGAAAAGCAGAAAAGGGTTTCCAGTCTTCCAGCCCACCCAGCCCTCCAGCTCCCACAAGGCAAAGGAGGTGCCTCCTGGCCAACCTGCAACTCATAAACTCACCCGCCTGGGGGAGAGGCCTGGCTTTGGGGTAGGAGACGGCTGGGCTCTGCTTCCCAGCTGGGAGCCCATTAACCCTTTAGGAATTTCAGGGTGAGAGAGGGGGGAGGAGGGATCAATCCCCACCCACATCCTCAGGATGCTTATGATGTGTGTGTGTGTGTGTGTGTGTGTGTGTGAGAGAGAGAGAGAGAGAGAGAGAGAGAGAGAGAGAGAGAGAGAGAGAGAGAGAGTGAGATCCTCAGAATGCTTATGGTGTGTGTGTGTGTGTGTGTGTGTGTGTGTGTGTGAGAGAGAGAGAGAGAGAGAGAGAGAGAGAGAGAGAGAGAGAGAGAGAGAAGCTCAAGCTCTGACTTTGCCTTTATTCTCTGTGACTTTCCTCCCTGAGGCTCAGTCTCCAGGCCTGTCAGATGGGAACCCCACCTGCAGCAGAGCAGGCTTGAGGAGGTAAAACCAGGGCAGAGGGCGGCCCTCGGTGAAGTTCCAGCTGAGCCCCAGGACTCTGAGTCCCTGCCTGCTGTGTGACCCCGGAAAGGTTACTTAACCTCTCTAAGCAGGTTTGCTCCTCTGAGAATGGGCTGGTACAGAGATGGAGGGATGAATAATGTAGCTGGACAGGAGGAGGGCAGGAGAGGGAAGCGGCTCCCTTCCCGGGATGTGCCTCTGCTGGAGCGGGTGGGGCTTACCTCTGTGCACAACTCTGACCATCAGCATGGACTCCATGGACACTGCCCCGGGCTGAGAACGCCGCATCTATCAGATGCCTTAGCCCTGAGCTTCAGCCTCAATGGCAGCAGCTGTCATCTCATTTAATCTCCTCAGCTGAGCTCTCTGAGGCACAAGGTGCCACTGTAATTCCCAATTCCCATTTTATGGGTGAGCGCACTGAGGCAGAAAGAGGGACAGTCACGTGTCCAAGGTCACCATGGTGGTACCAGCACAGTGTTCTGAAGGCAGAGTCCACATCCTTCTGGTTATGAGCTCAGTGTGACCTTGGCCAGGCCTGGCTCTGCCTCAGGGCCCCCCTTTTCTCATCCGCACAATACACTCTCCCACCAGCTCTCCCTGCCAGCGGGAGGAGTGCACCCTCTCGGGCGCTCTGGCCCGGCCGGCCCCCAGGAAGGCAGCCCCACACCCATCGCATGGAGCAGAAGAACCACCCGCCGGGCCCAGGCAGCCCACAGAGCCCCGAGAGATGAGAAAATGGATTCACTCTAAGCACTTGTTACACAGCAACAGAATAAAACAGCCCTGAGAGCCCAGTGTCCGTGGAGGGCCTGCTGTGAGCCAGGCACTGCGAGAAACTCATGCACTGTCTCTGGACTCAGGGCCTGTGAGGGGCCTTTCCTGTCCTCCCACTGTGGCCTGCACCAGCTGGCATTGTCTCTCCGGGGCCGGCAGCAGTGGCAGGGATGACACTCTCGTAGCTGGGCGGAGGCGAGGCAGGCGGGCCCCCAAGCAGGGCAGCCCCTGAGGCGCCGCACGGCGAGTCTTCCTCCGTGGGGTACGCAGGTGGTGCCGGGGGCCCCTCCACCAGCGGGCAGCGCATGGCCTCCTCGTAAGTGGGGATGGGCACCAGCTCTAGGGTCCTAGAGGGACAGGAGAACAGAGGCTGTTAGCAGGGGCAGGGGAAACCCACCGCGTGTCAGGGAGAGAGATGGAGGGCCCTGCCTTAGCCAAACTCTTTGCGGGTCCCCCGGGACCCCATATACACACTTGGAGCTTGGCCTCAGCTGTCCGTCCCACCCGCCCTGCCCTCCCCCACGAGCTCACAGGCCTCCTCGGCTCTCTCTGTAGAGAGAGTCCTCACCCGCCTCATCCTTTCCTGTTGCTCGTCCCCACTTGTCCCCTGAGACTCCCCTGGAAAGCTTTCCTGGCTGCCAGCTCCCCCAGCAGAGCTCCCACAGTGCTTTGCTGCCACACAGACCCCACCTGGCTGTCCTCTGGGGCAGGGACTGACGTTGAGGGTCATGGAGCTGAGGGCAGATGCTGGGGTGGGGGTGGGGGGTGTTTGTTGAAAGACTGAATGATGGTGCACAGGCTGAAGGGCTCCCAGCTTACTGTCATACCTCTTTTTTAAAACATATTTTTATTGATATCAGAGAGGAAGGGAAAGGGAGATAGAGACAGATACATATCAATGATGAGAGAGAATTATTGATCGGCTGCCTCCTGCATGCCCCCTACTGATCAAGCCCCACAACCTGGACATATGTCCTGACTGGGAATCAAACCAATGACTTCTTGGTTTCTGGGTCCCCACTCAACTAATCGGGCTGTCATCTCTCTCACAAGAGCCAGAGCCGTGGACGCTCCGAGCAGGATGGGAGACCTCAGCTCTCCTGCCCATTTGGATGCTGGAGGCCCTGATGTGGTCCGTCCGCCAAGGGTGTACCTCTGCTTGTCTACCCCGGGCATACAGTCAGCCAGGCCTGTCTCTGAGCAGCCTGGCTTTCTGAGACTGGCCTCCGGCTCCCTGAAATGAACTACCGGGCAGGGACGTGAGGCACGAACCAGGTCCCGAGACTCCTCCATCGGGCTCTGCGGCTGGACTCAAGAACAGACCCCAGCTCTCAGGGGGTCATCTGTGGGGAGTCCCTTTCCCTCCCCCCCTTAGGGCTCTGGGGGGCGGGAGTGTCACTGACCGAGGCCTGCTTCTGCTCTGGGGGCGATACTGTCAGACACAGGGGTTCCCTAAGTGATCCTGGAAGTCCCTTCTCACCGCAGTCACTCGAGGCCTGGTTGCGAGTCTGCGCACTGGCTGGTTCAACTCCCTGTTCTGCCGCACTCCTGGTGGGCGACCAGGCTCAGGAACTCCGTTAATCTGAGCCTCAGTTTCCCCTCTGTGAATGGGGTCAATGACGGCCCCTCCCCCACAGAACTGTGTGCGGGTTAAATGAGATAATCAGGGCTGCTCAGCACACACTCTGTAAATGGCCGCCAGCCACCAAGTCTCAAAGGTCTCCCTTGGGGAAGGGGTGTGGGGAGCAAAGCTCACCCCAGATCTCCCGCAGGAAGGCTGTCCCTCGCCCAGGGTCACCAGTTTGCAGCTGGTGGGGAAGAGCACTGGGTGGGGAATCCCAGCTTCGGCTCCTGGCTGGTGCCCTCCGTCACACTGCCTGCTGCATGGCCTGTCTGTGGCTGCAGGAGCAAGCCTGCCTCCCAGTGGGCCGCTCTGAGGGGCAGAGGCTGGCCCAGAGAACAGAGAGGAAGTGGAGGGGACTAGGGGTTAGGAGGTGCCAAGCTGGGACCTGCCAACGCCCCTCATGTGAGCACCCATCATCCGCTGGAGCCATGGCGTGTCTCTGGCAACGTGTCTTCTTGCCCAAGCCCAACGCAGCCCTCAGAGCGGGGGGCAGGCTTGCTGCTCCAGCCACAGACAGGCCATGGAGCAGGCAGCGTGACGGAGGGCACCAGCCGGGAGCCAAAGTTGGGATTCCCCATCCAGTGCTCCTCCAAACTTCTCTCCCAGGCCCTCCTCCTCTGAGCCAGCCCAGGAGCCTGGCAGCCGAGGAAGCTAATCAGAGACCTCATCCTACTCTGCGCTCCCGACATCCTTTGCAGGAGAGGGCAGGCGAAGATCATTGCTCCTGGAGGTAGGCAAAAACCAGGTTCTATTGCTGTGTGGCCGAGGCTGTGTTCACAACCCTCTCTGAGCCTCTTTCTCCTTGTCGGTAAAAAGGGGGTAATGATTGTCATTTTATAGATTCAAGGCAGAGAAAAATGGAAAAAAGCTTTGACAACACTCAGAAAAAAAGGAAGCAAGTAGGCTTCCAGCCTCTCCTGCCTTGGTCACTTCTCAGCCACACCTCTGCCGCTCCCCTCTTCTCCGAGCCCTGAAGACGTGACACAGGCATCGGATCTGCGTGGGGCCACCCCAGCAGCTAACCATGGGCAGGGGAGGGCATAGGTGAAGTGAGCCTGCAGCAGGAAGTTTGCTTAGAAGCAGACTGGAGTGGCCCTCATGTCACCCACTAGGCCAGTTGGGCCCACCCAGCGTCAAGTGTCCATGCAGGATGGCCACGGCGCACCTGCCGGAGGAGGCTCTGTCCATGGTGCTCCAGGTATGGCACCCTGCAGTGGCACGGGGCCAGCTGCCACCTTGGTGCCAAGCGCTGGGCGCACCACTCTCTGGAGCCTGGTTGGGGCCCAAGACCTGGCCTGGCACCAGCTCCCCCGCCCTCAGCTGAGTCAGGCAAACATGGTAGGAAAAGGGGAAGGGACGGGGATGACATACTACCTACCAGGCACGTAAGCCTTCTAATCTATCTCACATTCATGACAACCCTGGGTGGTACAGATAAGTGAAAGCCACACAGCAAAGCCCCAGCTCTGTCTGGCTGCAAAACTCAGCCAACTCCATCTAGCACACCTCTCCCCACCCCAGCGCCTAATCTCTCCAAACCTCAGCTTTCTCATCTGAAAAATGGGCCTAACCCTTACATGTACCTCATAAGCTGCTCCACTTATGAGCAGTTGAGGCTCAAATCAGTTAGTGGGCATAGATAGCATCCACTGTAAAACTAAAAAGCATCCTAATGGCAGCAAAAGATAATGTGCGCACGAACTTTAAAGTGTACACACCTCCCCACCTGTCATTGCATCTGAACCTGACAACAATCCTGGGGAAAGGGTCTGTCACCTGCAGCTGACAGATGAGGAATCAGACACGGCTCAGAGAGCCTAAGTAACATGCCCAAGGACACACAGCTTATCATAAAAAAAGAGCAGAGACTGAGACCCTCCTGTCTGAATAGGACCATGTGTTTTCTGCGGTGCTCACTGAGGGTGCTGTTCCTGGGGTGCGTCCTGTCTAGCCACCCTATGTAGGGGCTCACACATAAGATGGGAGTCCCTAGAGGGCAGGCGTTTTGTCCAGTGTGGTGTTGTCCAAGGACCCACCACACAGCACTCGGTAAATGTTGTTAAATGTGTGAAAGAACAAGAAAATAAGTCAATGGAGAATGAGGTCCGAGAGGGGCAAAGACCTGGCTAAGCCATCACCCAGAAGGCCTCTCTCTGGGTTTATCTTCGGAGAGTGAGGTGCCTGGGACAGGAGCAGTAGAGTGACCTCCCCCTGGGGCCAGATGCTGGTCTCCCAGGCGGCAGGGCTGGGCTGGGTCCGCCCCAGGGACAGGGCACGAACAGCAGCAGCCTCCCTGACCTCCAGCACCCAGTGCTGAATCTAAGACGGGTCTCCAACCCCGGAGCACCCCGCGGCCTCCTGGGAGGGCCTCCTCCCTGGCCCGGCTGGGAGAGAAGGCCGGTGGCCCCACCTACAGCTGTGGCCAGGCCCTGTTGGGTCAACATGGCTGTGTGTACAGACAACACCCACCCCTACACTCAGGCCACCCTGGGCGGGGAGGGCCAGCTCTGGGCCAGGGAGCCCTGAGGCCTGGCCTGGTTCCAGCTGACCACTAACTTGTGGTGGTGTGACCAGTCACCGGTCTCTCTGCAACTGCGTCCTGACCCACTAAGTGAAGAGTTTGGCTGGAGGGTCCCCAAGGCCCTGCCTTCTAACCGTCAGGGCACACCAAGGCCAAGCCATTGGGCTAAGTGGCCTCTGTTGAATACTCTATTGTCTCTGACCTCAAGGATTCACAAGCCAGTAGTGGAATAACCGGTTACATTCCTTAACTCAGCATGCATCCCCCTCCCTTTTAAAAAAAAAAAAAAAATTTTTTTTTTATTGATTTCAGAGAGGAAGGAAGAGGGAAAGAGAGAGAGAAAATCATCAATGATGAGAGAAAATCATCAATGATGAGAGAGAATCATTGACCGGCTGCCTCCTGCATGCCTCACACTACCGTGTTTCCCCGAAAATAAGACATCCTCCGAAAATAAGACCTAGCGCATGGAAAGATAAGACATCCCCTGAAAATAAGACCTAGCGCAACTTTGGGAGAAAAAAAATTAATATAAGATACTGTCTTATTTTCGGGGAAACAGGGAAGGGATTGAGCCCACAACCCGGGAATATGCCCTGACCAGGAATCAAACCGTGACCTCCTGGACAGGTCGACCGGACAGGGCATGTCGACCGGACAGGGCACCAGTTCTTGCCTTGCAGGGGAAAGAGGGCTGAGAAGATGTACGCAGGCCCCTGACATGTGGGTACACCCAATACTTGGTCAAATGAAAGAACACATAATAAGTGCAAGCATAGTTCACTTACTCAACAGGCAAAAATTGGCTCTTGGTATTGGTGATGTAAAGCATAGATACACATACAGAACATAAACACATATATAATGTAACTGTGGCATTTAAACTTTACAGGGGAGGATTGAGGGGAAAAAAAAATGCCTAAAGAGCCTCCTAAGAGGGAGTAAAAACGAAAATGAAGCTTGAGAAATGTTGTCTATTGCAAGATTTTTGTCTCCGCCCCCCCCCACCTCACCTTCCCCTGAACCTTTGTACATGCTACTCTGCCTGCCTATCCACCTCTCGCCACCTTCGCCTCTTGAGGACAAGTTGACATTTACTGTGTGCACTTACCGTACACCAGGCACTGGGCTAAGTTCTATGTACGCATCATCTCATTTCATTCTCCCTGTGTCCCCCGAGCCAGTGGATGGGTGACAGCGCAGATTCTGGTCTAAGCCCTGGCCCTGACACACACTACCTGGGTGTCCTTGGGCAAGTTACTTAGTAACATTGTGGTGCCTCCGTTTCCTCGTCTATAAATGGAGCAAATAACCGTACCTACTTCAGAGGACTGCTATAAGGATTAAACGAGAAAATATATGAAAAAGCACATAGAACAGTGTCTGGCCCATGGTCAGTACTACACAGGTGTTTGCTATTATTGCTGCTGTTATTATTCCTGTTTTATTTCAGACGAGGCTGAGGCTCAGTGGGGTTGCATAATCTGCTTGATGTCCTACTGCTAGCTAGTAGAACCAGGAGAGGGTCCTAGTCAGTCTGACGCCTGCGTCTGGGCTCTTAACCACTGTGCTACTCTGCTCCACACCATGCGGAGCTCAGCTTTCCACCTCTTCCAGGAAGCCTTCCTGGATTTCCCCATATGTCTACAGGACTGTGTCTATGCCTCTCTCACAGCTCTCGCTACCCCATGGAGAGGCCACTCTACCCCTGTCATGGGGCTTTAAACTCTTTCCTAGGATTGTGCTGATCAGCCTTCAAATCCCCAAGGCATGGACAAATGCCTGAGGAGGAACCCCAGGAGAGTTTGCTGAGCAAATGCATGGCGACGGACTGGTGCCCCACCTATGGCCCCAACCTGCAGCCCAACCCCGCCACTCCCCACGAACCTGCTCTCCTTCTCCGACGGCTCCACGGTGAGGTAGTACAGGTCTCTGGAGAGGTGATACGGGTCACGTCGGGGTGACCCCCAGGCATGGGCCTTGATGGACCACAGCAGGCCCAGGAGCAGCAGCAAGCCGCCTGCCCCGAAGCAGAAGAAGCTGATGGACCTGAGCAGGGGCCGGGGGGCCTCGGGCGCAGGGTGCCCAGTGGGCGGGGCCGGCTGGCTGGGCTGAATGCCCTTATCATCTCCTTCGCTCCACCACGCGAAGCAGAGCGTCCCGGCGATCAGGAACACGGTGCCGCAGACCGACAGGCAGTAGCGGAGGGTGGAGGCCACTCGGCCCCTGTCACAGCTCTGGACATGCAGAGAGAAAGGAGAGAAAAAACAAAACAAAAACGGGCATGTGAGCAGCCTGCCACGTACTGGGTGCTTGGGTTTGAGTTCTCCTCCACCTGAGCTCACTGGGCAACCCTGGAGAGGTCATCTGAGGTCGCTGTGCCCCAGTGTCCTCATCCGTGTAATGGAGGTGATGCTCCGAGCTTTGGTGGAAGGTCACAGTGGATGTGTCTGAAGTTGCTAGCCCCAGCCTGGGATGCAGGAGGAGTTCAGTGAGGGAAACTCTGGCCCCGCCCCCCAGGCCTCAGAGGCCTCCTCTGCCCAGTGGGTATAAGACCCCACCGGCTGGAGGGAGAAGAACAAACACCTCTTGGGTCCATTGGGCCTGCCAGGGTCGGGCTGGCTGGTGACATGTTCCTCACTTCACCCAGTCACAATGCCGAGGGGTCGACAGCGCCCCCTCCGTCTGACAGAGGAAGACACGAAATGCAGGACAGGAAAAGGAGCAAGTGTGAAGGAGGGCGCGGAGAAGGCCGAAGGTAAAAGGCATGATCTGAAGCAAAATTGTGCACAAAAAAAGTCCACTGTGGCCTTATTTATAATGATCCTAACTTAGAAAGAGCCAACATGTCCAACTCCAGGGAAATGGTGGGTAAATCATGGCACAACCTCTAGACGGCCTATTAATGACTTATTTTTAAAAATATATTTTATTGATTTTTTTACAGAGAGAAAGGGAGAGGGATAGAGAGTTAGAAACATCGGTGAGAGAGAAACATCGATCAGCTGCCTCCTGCGCACCCCCCACTAGGGATGTGCCCGCAACCAAGGTACATGCCCTTGACCGGAATCGAACCCGGGACCCTTCAGTCCGCAAGCCAACGCTCTATCCACCGAGCCAAACCGGTTCCGGCTAATGACTTATTTTTTAAAAAATCAAGCTCAGCACAAATGTTTAACAACAGGAGGGAGATGCTTTTGATATCTTACTTTTTTTCAACTTAGAATACCTACTTACCCCTATAGTGTTATCTCAACTGGGTAAAGAACAAAAAAAAAACACTGGGAGGAAGCCTGGGCCCAGACAGGAAGGGGCTAAAACACATGTGTGTGTGGTTCCCAAAGGCGTTGCACATGCTGTTCTCTTCCTGGTAACTGTCTATTACCTCCCCTCAAGGCTCAGCTCAGTCCCATCCACGAAACCTTTAAATACCCAATCCCCTCGGCCTTACTGGACCACAGTACTTACCTGCGATTAACTTCTCCTTCGCTGTCCATCCTGGCCCCGTTCGCTGCTCTGTCCCCCAAAACCTAGCACATAATAGCTGCTAAATAAAGGTCTGTTAAAGAAATTCCCTTCAGTGAGGGGGAAAGTGTTGCCGACCAAATATTTGTTGTGTGAAAAGCCTGCTCACAGCTGGAAGAGTGAGTGAGGGAGGATTCCAGAGGATCCCAGCTGCTTCAGCACCCAGCCACGAAGCAGAGGCCTGGTCCCCACACCGCAGCTCCCGGCTGTGTCCTGGGCTGAGCTCCCCACTGCTCTGGGCCTGCTGCCTCATCCGGACACGGAGCAGGTGCCCCAGCAGGCTGCTGGGAGAACTCAGTGTGGTTCCATCTCCCCTCCCAAACGCTGAGCCAGAGGAGCAGGGAACTCACAGACCTCAGAGAGACTTCAATGGCCAGAAACACCTCCCAAATGGGAGATTGCCCAGCCAGACGTGGCACATCAGAGCCAGGCCCTGGGGAGCTGCTGTTCAGAGGCATTATCCTAGGGGAGCAGAGGGGGGTGCACAATGTTCCAGATACAGTCGGTGAAGCTTCAGGTTTCAAAAGGGCATGTTCCCACCAGAGGGTGGAGGGAGGGTTGGAAAGGGGAAGAGGCTTAAGGAGTACAAACTTTCTGTTATAGGTCACGGGGATAGAAAGTACTGCATAGGAAAGAGAGTCAATAACATCGCAATAAACTATGTCTGGTGGCAGATGGTTATTAGACTGATTGTGGTGCTCACTCTGTAAGGTATATAAATGTTGGATAATGATGTTGTACACCTGAAACTAATATAATACTGTATGTCAATTATAATCGAAAATAAACATTTTTAAAGAGTATGTTTCCAAATGTGTTTTAAAGTGTATGTGTGGCCATAACCGGTTTGGCTCAGTGAATAGGCCTTCAGACTGAGAGGTCCCAGGTTCAATTCCGGTCAAGGGCATGTACATTGGTTGCGGGCACATCCCCAGTCAGGGAAGGGGATGTGTGTGTACAAGAGGCAGCTGATCGATGATTCTCTCTCATCAACGTTTCTAACTCTCTACCCCTCTCTCTTCCTCTCTTTAAAAAGAAAATCAATAAAAATAAAAAAATAATTAAAAAGCCGAAAGGAAACATTTCTTTAAAAAAATACAATAAAATGTATGTGTGGTGCCCTGGCCGTGTGGCTCAGTTGGCTGGAGCATCGTCCCACATACCACAAGGTTGCAGGTTTGAGTCCAGTCAGGGCACATACCTAGGTTGAGGGCTCACTCCCTGGTCAGGGTGCATACAGGAGGCAACCGATCCATGTTTCCCTCTCACACTGATCTCTCTCTCTCTTTCTCTTTCTCATCAATTAAAAAACTTAATAAATAAATTATATTAAATTAAATGTGTGTGGTTAAGAGATAAACCCACCCATCTTATCAATAAGAGAATGTGTATGGTCCAACCAGTGTGGCTCAGGGGTTGAGTGTCAGCCTATGAACCAGGAGGTCACTGTTTGATTCCTGGTCAGGGCACATGCCCTGGTTGCAGGCTCGGTCCCCAGTGGAGGTGGGTGTGCAGGAGGCAGCTGATCAATGATTCTTTCTCATTATTGATGTTTCTATCTCTCTCTCCCTATCCCTTCCTTTCCGAAATCAATAAAAAAAAATTGTTTTAAGTGTGTGGGTGTATGTGTGTGCATGCACATGTGGGAGAGAAAGTCTATACATGTAATGACAGAATCTATAATATACTCCAATCCCTCTGGGCCATTTGCAAATTACCTGCAGTTCTCTGCCTGTGAATCTGTCTTTGGGGCAAGTGCCTTCTGTCTCTAGCTCAGGGGAAAGAAAAGAATCTGACTACCCGCCCCCCAAAGTCAGACGGCAAGGAGAGGCTGTCAAGAGAAAAAGCTGGAGAGACCAACTTGAAAAAAAAACACCACACCAAAACAGCAGATCCATTGCTGTAAGCCCTGGGCTGTATCTATCGCACTTGACAGTTGCCCTTCAAACCCAGCATCTCATCTGACCCCTCGCAACAGGGCAGGGAAAGAAATTCCTGTTTTACAAATGACACGGGAGCCAGACAGGCGAGAGACTTTGCCCACACCCAGATACAACGAAGTTTCTCAACACCTGAGGAACTCACGCCTGTATCTGGTAACTCACGATGCTTTTTCCTGTGGGAAGAGGAGGGAACCACCGAGGTGGTAACAATGCAAAGCAGAGATGAGCGTTCAGCCTGCTCTGCAGAGATGAGCATGATCCCCATGTGCATGTTTCCTTTCCATTCTCCCTGGGCCTACATACACAATGGTGATGACAGCCGGTGTGTGTTGGGCATTTCCATGGGCTGGACATCACACCAAGCACTTTACTGGTGTCCCATCACGTGACCCTCAGAGCAGCAACATGTTCTGAGGACATGGGCCTAGAAAACTGTCAGTCTGTCCGAGGTCAGTGTCAAACTTGAACCCAGGTCTAGTCTGACTCAAATTCCTGGGTGTGCACAGCTTAGATCTATCTGAATGTTTAAGCATAGGAAGGTGAGACCTGGCTGTGAAGAGATGTATCTGTAAGTCTTTTTTAAAAATATATATATTTTATTAATTTTTTACAGAGAGAAAGAGAGAGGGATAGAGAGCTAGAAACATCGATGAGAGAGAAACATCGACCAGCTGCCGCACGCAACCAATGTATTAATACATACCCTTGACCGGAATCGATCCTGGGACCTTTCAACCCGCAGACTGACACTCTATCCACTGAGTCAAACCAGTTTGGGCATGTATCTGTAAGTCTTTAGTACATGCCCTTCTCACGCTCTAGACGGCACTGTCCTCCTCAGACAAGCCCCTGCAATTCCCTTAGCATGCTCTCACGGGTGAGGGCACCTCCCTCTGTGTGGGTCTCCTTCCTTCCATGTGGATCCCCCTGTCGGTAGGCAGGACACAGACTCCCTGTCATTCCAGGGACAGAGGGTGCCAGTGTCCACTGGGGGAAGGACAGCCTGGTCTGTTGCTGTGTGGTTTTCGTTATGTACAGATCAGAGCTCTGGCTGATTATCAGCAGCAGGTGTCCCAGCCCAAGGTTCTCCTGACCTGTTTCAGAGTTGCCTTCTGGCAGCTTACTCACCTTGAGGCAGGACAGTAAGAAGCTAGGAAGATTCCTTGGCAAGTAGAATAGGGAACCTGAGGCAGGTAGCTGAACGCACTGGCTGAGCAATTTACAGCCAGATGCAAAAGGTCACCTCCCTAGAGATAGCATGTAGGCCTCAGTAGTAATCCAAATTCAGGTCCAGAAAAGCAGCAACATTTGATGGGCAACTCCTGGACCAGCTGTAATAACTGATGACCCTGCCCTAGTGCTGACCAATCGGTAGAGACCACAACCCTAAAAGGTTGTAATCTCCTCTGAGACTGCCCCTAAATTCCCAGCCTTTAAAAACCCTCAAAACATGCCCTAGCTGGTTTGGCTCAGTGGATAGAGCATCGGCCTGCGGACTCAATGGTCCCAGGTTGGATTCCGGTCAAGGGCAAATGCCATGGTTGTGGGCTCGATCCTCAGTGGGGAACTTACAGGAGGCAGCCGATCCATGAGTCTCTCTCATCATGGATGTTTCTATCTCTCTCCCTTTTCCTTCCTCTCTGAAATCAATAAAAATCTTTAAAAAATATAGAAACTATAGCATTTTAAAAATAAATAAATACCCTCAAAACAAAGGACCCAGCAGGTCCCCCCCTCCCTGGAATAAGCTCCCGCCGTCTCCTTCCCTCTTCCCCGCCTATAGGAATGCATCCCCTAACCTCTAAGGGTCCCCATGAGATTTGCAACTGTCTCCACAGCCCCATTCTCCCAGACTTTGCAGTGAGCAAAAGCAGCCCCGCCTAGGCCCTCCTGTTGCTCTTCTGTCCTAAGCCCTTCCTTGTCTCTCTGTCCACAGCTCTAATCAAGTACTCTCAATCACCTGCACTCCTGTTGTGCAATCTTTCCTGCACAAGGTCAGGAACCCACACACTGCCTGGCTAGTGTAGCTCAGTGGTTGAGCCTCGACCTATGAATCAGGAGGTCATGGTTCGATTCCGGGTCAGGGTACATGCCCAGGTGGCAGGCTCTATCCCCAGTAGTGGGCGTGCAGGAGGCAGCTGATCAATGATGAGTGATTCTCTCTCATCGTTAATGTTTTTTTCTCTCTCTCTCTTCCACTCCTTTCCTTTCTGAAATCAATAAAAGTGTATTTTAAAACACACACACACACATACACACACACACTCTGCTGGCCAGCTCTAAGCAGACCCGCTAAGGGCCAGGTAACAAACTCTCACACCTGTGCACACGGTACCCTTTTGGGAGAGGAAGAAGGAACTCCCTGCCCTGGAGGGAATAACCCAACCCCAGAGAAGCCCTGGTCCCCGCACTCAGCCTGCCAGGATGGCACCCTCCCTCACCTCCCTCTCCTCCCTCACCTCCCTCTCCTCCATCACCTCCCTCATTCTCCCACACTCAAACACATCCCAACTCCTGCCACCAGGGGGCCCCTACACCTTTTGCTCTCCCAAGCTGGGGAGCCCTCGGTCCCCATCCAGGGCCCTCATTTCACAGCCCCACCTCTTCAAGACCCTGCCCAATGCCGCATCTTCCCAAAGGCAGCTGCCACCTTCGCCTGCCTCCCGCCAGCCACAGGGGCCTTTCCTTGCATCTGATGGATGGCCCCGCTGACTACGGCCATTCCCTCAGGCAGCTCAGGGTTTCTGAGCTCACATCCCTACCTCCCTGGGAGGAGGAGTACGTTGTGAAGACGAGGTAGCAAGATGGCAAGCTGTACGTGAAGCTCGGTGACGCCAAGGGAGCCGGACAGAGAACGGCCCTGCTCTGACCCTGGACAGGACGCCTGGCTCCTCCACGCCTCCCTCCCCTCCTCTGTGACATGGGCGCAGACACACCGCGGTGCCCTGCTGCCCACCAGGGACCGTTCGGTGCCGGTTTGCCGTAAACGGAACCCTGTCGTCTAAGCTAGAAGCGCCCATATCTTAAGGTGACCAGACGTCCCGCTTTTGGCGGGACAGTCCCGATTTCCAACAATTTGTCCCGCGTCCCGTCCCGCGGCGTTTTAAAAAAGTCCCCATTTGCCGAAACTGGTTTGGCTCAGTGGATAGAGCGCCGGCCTGCGGACTGAAAGGTCCCAGGTTCGATTCCGGTCAAGGGCATGTACCTTGGTTGCGGGCACATCCCCATTGGGGGGTGCAAGAGGCAGCTGATGGATGTTTCTCTCTCATCGATGTTTCTGGCTCTCTATCCCTCTCCCTTCCCCTCTGTAAAATAATCAATAAAAGATCTTTTTTAAAAAAAAATAAATAAGTCCCGATTTTCCACAATTTGTCCCGCGCGTTTTTTAAAAGTCCCGATTTTTATTTTTAAAAATCAGGGCTTTTTTAAAACGCTGCGGGACGCAGGGACAAATTGTGGGAAATCGGGACTGTCCCGCCGAAAGCGGGACGTCTGGTCACTTTACCATAATCGCCACCTACACGGAGGCCCTGCTCGCCTGGACCCAAGGCCACTCAGCGAGTTACAACCCAGAAGACGCCCAGCAAGCCCCCCTCCGGTCAGGGCGAGGGGAAGGGACCAGCCGGGGGTCGGCAGGCAGAGCCGGGCTGCTCCCGAAGGAGCGGAGACGGGAGGAAGCTCGTACCCACCTGGGGCGCGGCCATGGCGCGCGGGCGTCAGCGGCGGCCGGGGCGCGGGGGTGCGCGGGGCAGAGGCATGGTGGCTGTCGGAGCCGGAGCGGCGAGTCCCTGGAAACGCGTCCCTCTTTCGGGTCTGCAGGGGGCGCCGGCCGTCACGGGGTGGCCCTGGCGACGATCCCGAGCCCCGCTCTCCGCGCCGCGCAGGAGCGCTAAGGTGGGGTCCGGGTCTGGCCCCGGGATCTCTCCTGTCTCCTACCCGCAGCCGCGGCCGTCGGGGCCGCCGCCGCCCCGCCCGAGCGGAGGTGCCGGGCGGACTCCCCCGCAGGCGCGGTCCCCGGCGGCGCGCACCCACGGCTCATCGGCTGCTCCGCGGGGCTCGCCCAGGACCGGCTGGGTGACCCCCGGCTCCGGCCCTGCGGACCTGCCCTCTGCGCTCGGGCTCGGGGCGGGGCCGCCGCTCCCCTCCTGGGATCCTCGTCCTGCCGGCCGCCGGGTCGGGCGGAAACTCCGGGACCAGCCCCCGCGACTCCGGGGCGGCTCCCGGTGCCGCCCCGCCCGGCCTTAAAGCGAAAGCGTGGGGCTGGCGAGGGTTAGGGTTCCCTGCACCGGGCGCGCCGAGGCCGTTGTTACCTGGAGCGAAAGGGAATCCTCTGGCCTTGGGGCTGTCCTGCTCCCACTACGTCCCACCCCCCTCCTGAGTGATGGTGTGTGTGAGGGGGGTGGAGGGGGGGTGGACGGCGACAGCTGCTCTGAGAGCCACCAATGCTCACCCAGCCAGAGGGGGATCTAGGATTCCGGAGCCCGCCCCCCTTCCTACTCACACTTTACAGAAAGAGAAACTGAGACCCAAAGCGGGAAAGTCGCAGGCCTCAGTGCTTTACCGCAAACTCCGTTTACCCAACTGGCTTTTCTTCTCCCTCAGGTCAGTCTGAGAGCCAGCCCTAGGCTAAGGGAGACCCCCAAGACCTCACAGCCTAGCGGAAGTCAGTCTCAGAAATAAAGGCCCGCGGGTAGGTGCTTCCCCTGGCTCCTGCCCCAAGCTCCTGGGAGAGGGGGGCTTGAGAGCAGGCCTCCCACCTGATGGGAGACCTCACTTCTCTGAACCTTCCTCCTTTGTCCACGAAGATTCAAATGTGTGAGGATGGTCCAGCTGGCTGGCGGGGCTCAGTGATTGAGCAGCATCTATGAATCAGGAGGTTACGGTTCCATCAGGGCACGAGCCAGGGTTCAGTGTGGGGTGTGCAGAAGGCAGCCAATCAATGATTCTCTCTCATCATTGCTGTTTCTATTTATCTCTTCCTTCCTCTCTGAAATCAATTATATATATATATATATATATATATATATATATATATATATATATATATATATATATATATATTTAAAAAAAAAAAACTGTGAGCACTGAATGAGTTAAGCACTTGAGGTTAAACACTGGGCGTTTAACAAGTGCAAGCTGCCGGGACCAGTTTGGCTCAATGGATAGAGCGTCGGCTTGGGGACTGAAAGGTCCCGAGTTCGATTCCGGTCAAGGGCATGTGCTTTGGTTGCGGGCATATCCCCAGTAGGGGGTGTGCAAGAGGCAGCTGATTGATGACTCTCTCTCATCGATGTTTCTAACTCTCTATCTCTCTCCCTTTCTCTCTGTATAAAATCAATAAAATATATATTAAAAAAAAAAAAAAAACAAGTGCAAGCTAACAGCAGTTTTTGTGGACTGGTTTTTCAGGTGTCTGCAGGATCAGCTGTGTGTGTGTGTGTGTGTGTGTGTGTGTGTGTGTGTGTGTGTGTTCTTCTAGGGAAGGACACAGGAGTTATCTTAGAAAGGTGGGATGGGCAGAGCGTCCAGGCTGGAGGAGTAGCAGGTGCAAAGCCTGGACAAAGTCACAGGCTGGTTAAACCTTGGCAAGTTCATGTGGGTCCAAGGGAGCTGATTCCCAGACCAGCCTCGGTCTGTTTGGGTTTTGTCTTTCCCTGCTGCTCGGATAAGGCAGGGGACAGGCAGGGCCTGAGCCCCCTCACCCATGCCGATGACTCCCCTCAGAGCTGGCAGGCTGCACTCCCAAATAACAATGGCTCTGTTTGAGAAGCTCCTTAGTCAGGGGTGACTCTCTGAGGGGAAGCACTGGCTGTGACTTGGCTCACGACCCAGCCAGACCCAGCAGGGCCAGGATCACTGGCACTAGGTCCTGATTGGAACCCGGGGATCTGGCCCATTCTCCTGGCTCCCTCTTCCTCTCCCCCACCTTTTGGGATCTCTGGGGAGCCCCCCGGGCTTGGATATCCTTGCAGACCCTTTCTGAACCAGCAGCCTCAGCTATTCCCTGGCACCAGGTTGGAGACTCAGAGGAGAAAGCGGTCACCAGCTTTTGGCGCACCCACTTATTACAAACGTCACCAGCCAGCTGTTTTTCATGTTCTTTTAAGAATCTTATTTTCCGATTACAGTTGATGTACAATATTATATTTGTTTTTCTTGTTAAATGAAATCATCGAGGCTGGGAGACCAGTGCCTCACCCAGAGTCACACAGTCTATACGTGAGGAGTAGGGAGTCGGGGTGAGAGAGGAGGTGCCAAAACCCATGTCGTTCTGAATCTTCCAGACCTTTATGCAGAATATCCCCCTTCACAGTCTGTGAGGAACAGTTACCGACCCTGTAAGGGGAGGAAAACATTTCCCTAAATGTAGCCTCAATCTGCACAAGCTCTGCCCACCCCTCTACCCCCACCTCCCCACCCTCTCGGGCCCACGGCCACATTTGGAGAAGCAATAAGCACTGGAATCAGGCCTCTTATGGTTGTTATGAGGGTTAACTGAGTTATTATATAATGTGCTTAGCAACAGTGGTTGGCTTATAGTAAGTACTTAGTAATATTGTCTATTATTATTATTATTATTTGATGATGATGATTATGTCTGCAAGTGGAAGAGAAGCAATGAGAGAAACCATCATCTTCCTGGCAGAGCAGCCTCCGGACAGGGCTCCAGCACCCTTTGCAGGACCACGTCCTGGAGACAACCAGCTACTGTAACGTTGTGATATGACTCTTTCTAAGTGTACACATTTTACAGAAATCTGGTCACGCATGGCATGCCCCTTTTAATAGTTTTTCTTTTCACTTCACATAATTCATCGTGAACATCTTCCCCTATCTCACTGCATTCTAGTTACTCACTCACATGTCTGGCTACCCTGTAGACAGCACCTTGAGGGCACATATGGACATCTCATGTCCTATCCCCACCCCACCCTCCTTGTGCCATCTCAAAGCTGGCGCGTAGTAGGACCACCACCAGGGATGGAGCCACAACCCAGGCATATGGCCTGACCCGTAATCAAACTGTAACCTCCTGGTTTATAGTTCCTCGCTCAACCACTGGGCTGACTTCTGTTTTTATAGGCCCAGGAAAGGAAAGTGAATTGCCTGAGGTGTAACAGGCTGGCAGACTATGTCCTACAGATCGAATCTGGCTCACTGCCTGTTTTCATGTGGCCTACTCACTAGGAAGGACTTTTTACATGTGGTGTTTTTTTTAATGATTGAAGAAAATTTAAAAAAAGACTATTTCATGATACATGAAAATTTTACAAAATTCAAATTTTAATGTCCATAAATAACATCTTACTGGATCACAGCCAAGCTCATTGTTTACAGACTACTTTTGCGCTACAATGTTAGAGTTAAGGAGTTGTGACGTAAACCAGATAGCCCATAAAGCCTAAAATCTTTGCTATCTGTACCTTTAGAGAACATGTCTGCTGGTCCCTACCCTTGCCTCTCAGCTCTGCCACTAATGGGCTGTGCAATCCTGGGCAAGTGGCCGCACCTCTCTGGCCCTCATCGCTTGTAAAATGGTGATAAAACTTTTTTCTACAGACGGGTGCCATATTAATTCTCTATTGTTTCATAACAAGTAATCACAAACATATTAGTTTAATATGACACCCCCTCTCCCCCCGTTGACATTTGAATAACATGATATTAAGGACGCTGCCAAAACCGGTTTGGCTCAGTGGATAAAGCATCAGCCTGCAAACTGAAAGGTCCCGGGCTCGATTCCGGTCAAGGGCATGTACCTTGGTCGGGGGCATATCCCCGGTGGGGAGTGTGCAGGAGGCAGCTGATCGATGTTTCTCTCTCATCGATATTTCTAGCTCTCTATTTCTCTCCCTTCCTCTCTGTAAAAATCAAAATATATATATTTTTAAAATAGCAAAAAAAAAAAAAAAAAAAAAAGGATGCTGATCCTACGCCTGGCATAGTTGAAAATCCAGGAATAACTTTTGCAAAGAGGTTGGATCAGTTTAAGTGTCTGTGCAGCCCCTTCTCACATCAGAACTACTGTCAACAAAAGCTGCGCCTGCCTCTCCCACCTGCTTGTCTGGCTGGCAGGGAAGGGAAAGGTGCATGTTGGTGAAGGAATGAGCTGGGTGGGGACAACAGTGAAATCCGGAGTAAAGCCGAAACCGGTTTGGCTCAGTGGATAGAGCGTCAGCCTGCAGACTAAAGGGTCCCAGGTTCAATTCCGGTCAAGGGCATGTACCTTGGTTGCGGGCATATCCCCAGTAGGGGGTGTGCCAGAGGCAGCTGATTGATGACTCTTTCTCATCGATGTTTCTAACTCTATCTCTCTCCCTTCCTCTCTGTAAGAAATCAATAAAATATATTTTTTTAAAAAAGAAAAGAAATCCCGAGTAAAAACGAAGCTGCCCACGGTGTCCTGCTGGCTGTAAAATGCAGTTTAATCAGAGTGCCATTATTTTTTGTTGTTAAAACGATTTTAATGATTGGAATGCACACTTTTTAAAATATGCAAATAAAAAGTTTTAAAACCTAAAAAAAGGAATAACTTTTAACTCCCCCAAAACTTAGCGTACTGTTGACCTTACCAACAATATAAACAGTCAACTCACACATATTTTGTATGTTAAATGTATCATATGTACTGTATCTTACAATAAAGTAAGCTAGAGAAACTAGAATGTTATTAAGAAAATCATAAGGAAAAAAAATACATTTA